GAGGAGGAGGAGTACTTCGAGAGCCTGCAGGAGTTCCGCAGGAAGGCGCTGAAGGGGCGGCTGAGCGGCGCCAAGGAGGCCCTGCGGAGGGTACGAGGATGGGGTGGGGGGGACCCCGAGCCGGCCAAGGAGGGAGGGAGCCTACGGAGCTCGGAGAGCCAGCCCCCCTCCCCCACACCGGCCGCCTAAAAAGACCTTCCCCCCCTCCCCAAGGCGGGGGGGGGGGGTTTATCATCCCTTCGTTTGGAAATGCAGGCGCTCCCCCGGACACTCGCCAGGGCCAGCCCTCCTCCCTGAGAAGAAGAGTCCCAAGTTCTGGGCGGCCCATTCACGACCCAAATCAGTTGCATGAGGACGGGGGGGGGCAGAGAGAGAGCTTGCCTCCCTGTAGCTCTTCCTGGGGAAGCCCTTCTCCCCCAGTTATGCTGAGAGTCCTCACTAAATCCAGAAGGAGCAGGGAAGGTGGAGGGGGTGGTGGTCCCTGTGACTCAGAAAGGCCTGAGGCTTTGAGCCCCACGAGTCCGGATTCCACTACACCCTCTGAGACGGGGAAACACCCGATAGGATTGGACCCCCGTTCTCGTTGCGATTCTTTCCCACTGGCTGTGGTGGCAAGGGCTGGCGGGGGGGGGGGGGAGAGGTTTGCTCTCCATCTCCTTCCAGAGCAAGGCTGCCTATCGCTCACAGGTATTAACAGGCCAAATACTCGGTTTGAAGGTAGTCCTCGGCGCAGGGGATGGATGCATGATGAGGGCCTGGTTCGCTTTTGCGTCATCACCCGATATCGGTCCAGGCGTTGATGGTTTTGTCCTTGGCTGCGTTGTTGTCGTTCTTGTTTTAGACGTTTCCTCTCAACAGAAATTTGTCAGCAGCTGCTCCCCCAGCACGAGAATGTCCAAGGGGCAGCCGTGTTAAGTCTGTCTCTCCAAAGATGATAAAGACTCTTGGAACTATTTAAAGAGTCTAAAGTTTTATTTGGTGTATGTTTTTCTGGACTTCAACCTACTTTCTTGTAGCTGAAGAAGTCCATGAGGACATCGATGCTCTTCAAGGCCCCTTCTTGTCTTTTCTGGGTTAAAGATGCCTCGAATGTCAGATTATTAATTGTGACCAAATCTCTAAAAGAACAGGTTATACCCAAAGGCTGCGCAACACCTTCTGTTTCCAGCAGTGGCTGGCCGAAGAGGCGGCTCCGGTCCTGGAAGGGGCCCTACCTGAGGCGGGTGTCCATCAGGATGGCTTGGGCAGACGGGGAACCAAGATCCGCCACTGGGGGAATGAACTAGCAGAATGTCTCCATGAGAGATGTAGGCATTTGTGTCTCTCGACTGCATCTCCCAGCATTCCTCAGGCTACGTGGCCTCCTGGAAGTTACAGACCCAAAGAAAATATTTGCCAATCTCTACGGTCTTCATTATTCAGTTATAACTAGTTGATACCAATTGAAATACTGAGAATTTTTGGCTCAGGAGCTCAAGTGGCTTTTCTTGAACGACAACAGAGGCTTCCGAGCTCATTGTCTGAGGATATGATAGGACGGAGTCACGGCAGATAAAATGTGATCAAACAAATAGAAATGATGCTCTCCTCATTCATTTTCTCTTCTGGTTCCCTGCCAGTGATGTCACTGTACGACGCCTTAACATTTCAGCTCTCACCGGATGGAAGAGAAGGGCTTGTTCGTGTGTGTGTTGGTTGTGTAGGTTGGCTCAGCGTCCTCGCCTTGAGTTTCTGCTGGGAGGAGCAGGTGCTTTTTCAACGGGTGTTGTCCTGAGTCGTTTGCCTGCAGGACGGGCCGCCAGTCACTTGACTGATCTGGACTCCATTCAAGAAGTGAAGCAAGCTGATCTCTATGGGAGACTGACATTTGCAGGGCTGGGCCTGGCTGGGTTGAGTACAGAGTGTCAAAACCTGTTCCAGAGTCTGTATTGGCATGAGAACCGTCAAGGAGACCGTACAGAAACGCGCACAAGCTTCCCAGTCCATCACGTCTTTTTATCAGACGAGGTTTTAGTTGAAGTAAGAGAGAAATCGAAGGCCTTTCTAGGTTTGAAAACCATGTTGATTGCTTGATGCGTTCAAGAGAATGGAATGAAGAAAGGGGGGACTGGTAAATTTAAGGCAGGCTGCCGCAGGCAATGTGATGGCTTTTGGTTTCATGTGGCATAACCACTCACAAAGGTGGGTGCAAGAATGGCAGAAAAGTTTGATCCTCCATTTCTGCAAATATAAAACTCCCATTATTTTTCATTCTAGGGGAAATGCTCACGGACTCCTTTATGGGTGGGAAAACAAACCCCATGTTAATTTCAGGCTTTCCCTGGCCCTTGTAGGTTCTCCACCAGCACAAGGACACAGAGAAGTTGGTGGACTTAATGGACCTCTACAAGGAGGAAGATGACGCCTATTGGGAGCTGGTGACGGTGGCAACGGAATTCTATCAATATTTACTGCATCCATTTAGAGACATGCGAGAACTGGCCACATTGTACAGATTGGAAATCCTGGTAAGGTTTATTCTCCCAGAGTTTCCAAGTCTTATTGAAAGCTCACCAGTCACCAGATCATCGCATCCCACAACGTTCAGGCAGCCTTGAACATTGTCCAGTAATGTTAGGGCTCTAAGTTTTCCTTTCCCCTCGGATGGGACCCATTCTGCCATTGCGTTTAAGATGCTTTGCCCATCTGCTGACTGCTCCTTTATTTGCCCTGCGCCAGCTCTGCCCTCGGGGGGGGGGGCAAGCCCTTTGCAGCGCCCCGCTTCAGTGCTGGAGCAATTAAATTCTGGGCAGGTCCCTCTGGGTGACTTCGTTTCTGCATTTGAGACACAGATGGCCTGGCTTTTCCGCTGGATCCTGAACCACCCCTTTTAAATGGGACTTTTGCAGAAGGCCCTGCAGGCCAACCGTCTGGGCCCCAAAAGGATAGAATCCTTGCGGAAAGAAGCTGAGGAATGGACGGATCGGGCCGAAGAAGCGGTTTGCTCCATCCAGGACATCACAGCCAGTTATTTCAAGGAGACAGCGATGGCACTGGCAGGTAAGCAAGGTCGCGGGTCGCCTGCATCTTATGAGAGGTGAGAGTAGGGGACGGAGCTCCCCCAGCAATGTGGAAGTTTCAAACCCTTTAGACTTCACCAGCTGTTGCTTAAAAATGTTTCTTATTTATGTGTGCAGCATGAGAGCTTGGAAAAAGTTAGTTTTTCAGACTACCGCTCCCCAAATCCCTGAGCTGGCCTGGCCAGCACTCCCAACCTTCATATACTAGTTGTGCCAGTATTTTCTAAGTCTTTTCGGCTTTCTTGCTGGGCATGGGACTTTGCTCCTTTTGGGACTCCAACCCCCAGAATTCACCTCAAATTCTCCCAGACAGAATTCCGGGGGATGCAACACAAAACAGAAGTTCACAGAGGAGATCTTACTACCTGCACATGGACTTACAGCCCCTTGTTTGGCTTTCAAGGAAAAGGAGATGCAAATTGCCCCGTTCATGGCTGGGAATGGCCCGGCTAGGAGGGAGTCCCAATGAATCGTGGGATGAAGAGTTCTTGGAGAGGCAGCGAGACAACCTGGGGGCCTTCCAGGCAAATTCTGGGGGCCAGAGCCAAAAGGAAGCAGAAAGCCCGATGCTTGTTTCTCCCCACTTCAGCTCTGCTTCAAAGGCCTCTTTGTCTTTCATATGTTCCTCTTCTTGCTGTTTTTTTTTTAACCCCCCTGAGAAGGCTTGTTAGGACTGTTCTTATGCATCTTTCTCCGCTGTTGTGCTTTGCTGTCTTCTCCTCCTGACAGCCATGCAGAAACAGATGGAGCAAGACCAGAAGCGATTTGGACAAGCAGCCTGGGCACTGGCTTCCCCACGGTTAGAAAACCTGAAGTACCTGTTAGCCAAAGAAACCCTGCAGCACCGCAGAGCCAGTGAGCTGTGCCTGAAGCACAAGAGAGCTGAGATCCAGAAGCAGGTAAGGACATCGCTTACGCGACTGACCTCCTTGGTTTACCGTCTTGGGTCTTGTAGATGTGGTTTCAGACATCGAAGAGATCTCTGTGGGCTTGCAAAGTCCCTTTTTTGTAAGCGAGCATAATTCTCGCAAACTGCATTGGCAGGAGGATCATAGATCAGTAATGAAAGCTGGCTGGTGAGATTTCCCAAATCCTAGCTCAACCCCTGGTGTGCTCTGGTCCGTGGGGTCACGAAGAGTTGGACACGACTAAACAACAATGACAATGAGCTCAACCCAAACAAACAAACAAACAAAAACCTGAGACCAATTGCCAGACAAAATCCTATTTTTGCTCCGGTTCTGTTTCCATTCTGGCCAGCCAGATGCCCCAAGCGGTAGCTCACAAAGTTGACACGAGAACAACTGCATCCTTTTGCTGCTGCTTTCCAGGCATTGAGAACAAACAGTCCCTGTGCTCCTGTTGGCAGGAGGAGGCCTTTGCATCGAGCGCCCATCGATTGCTTTATGCCCTCCATTCACTTGCCTTTCCCTCTTTTAAAAAATTATCCAGGCAGATGCTCTTAGATAGCCCTTATCATAGCAAATTCTAAAAAAGGAAGAAGGGCAGTCCCTAAAAACCCCAAAGCCCTACGTTCCAAGAAAAGACTCCGTCGATCCCTTGTGATCAGGAGGGCCCTTGATTGGCCTACCTTGCAAAAACAGGGGGGTATTGTGTGAGTTCTAAAAGGATCTCCCCAAACCGGAGGAAAAGGTTTTAAAATGGCCAATGCAGCCCTTTGTAGACAAATATAAAATGGTGCATCTTCAGGCTAAAGATAAAATAGAAATTCCAGTTTCACATGAGTGCTGAAAGGGTCTGAGGAAGCTGTGATGGATCAAGAGAGATCTTGCGTAGTTTTTGTGTGTTCTGGGGGTCAGCAGCACTCTGTCCTCTCCGGTAAACATCTCTCCCATCAATGGATATTTCATTTATAAACCTCAAGAAATGTCAAGAGGATGGAACTTGGATCTTCTGCATGAAAACCACGAGTACAGGGCTGAGCCAAGCCCACAGTTTTTGCCTGTGTGCAGGACCCAGACTGGCTTCAGTTCCTTTTGTACCCCTAACTTTTAAAAAAGTTCTCCTGAGATGGGAAGGCAAGATGGGAAGAATCCCCATGCTGTTTTTTTTTGGCCCTGATCCCGGTGGCCCTAGTCCATGATGCTCACACTCTTTTGGCACACCCTGCAGATGGAGGCCCTCAACGAGCAGGAAGATGGCGTGGCCCGGGTGGAAGAGCTGGAGATTGAGTACTACGAAACCCAGCTGGAGCTGTATGAGGTGCAGATTGAGATTCTGAAGAATGAAGAGATGTTACTTGTGACACAGTTGGAAACTTTGAAGAGACGGCTGAAAGGTAGGCAGGCAGAGGGTGGAGGGGGATGAGCAGCAGGTTGGGAAAGGGAATCATCTTTTCCTTTCTCTGTAATTTAGTCTTTTGAACATTAAGTGTAAGGGCTTTTCTCTTAGTCCTCTTTTATATTTGTTGCATACAACGGAACAATGCACAAATAAGAACGGAGGGTTGTAAATTTGAAACAAGAAGCATGATATTGTTATGCTTGCTGAAGGTAAATGGCATCAATGGTTTTTCACTAGCAAGCAAGGAGACCCTGCTTGGGTTTTCAGGTATGTGCAGAATTACAGGGTGGACACGCACCTGAAAATCCGAACAGGGACTCATTAATTAGCAGTGAGAAGCCACTGCAAATTATGTCATTTCCTTTCCATGGATAATAACAATACAATATGATTTTGGCCTGTTATTCATTCCCCACTCCCATAAATAGTCTTAACTCAAACCCCATCCCCACCTTACACTTTTCTCTCAAGTACTGAGGGGGCTGGATGTGACCCTTCCACAGACCGCAATCCCCATGATCTCTTACCACTGATGGAGCTTGTAATGTAACAGCAGATGGGAAGCTAAATATTTTTTAGCCCCACTGAAACATATATTTAGAAACTTTGAACTCGTTCTCTTTTCAGATTAATGAAAACCTCACCAAATTATTATTTTTGCATGCTTTTCCTAATGGAATATTGCTTATTTTCTTAGAGATTCAGGATGAAGTAATTTATTATGACACATATGAAAGTCCAGATGAGTTAGAATCTGCTCAGCCGGCTCTGGAAGACACCCATGTGCCTATCTCTGAAATGACTCAACTAAGACAGAAGATGCAGCAGCTGGAGTCAAAACGGGGGATTATCTGCTCACGGAGAGCGTACCTCAGGAACAAAAAGGTATTTTTTTAAAAAAAAAAGGTATTTTAAAAATTGTAATTACCAAAAGATTACTAAGAAAGATGGAAACAAAGAGAAAGGAGAAAACAACAACAAAAAGAAAGAAGCACAACTATTCTGAACTCAAGAGACATAAGTGCACTCCCTCCACCCAGAGATATATTCAAAGTCCTACTGCATTCATTTGTGCTCCATTTCTCTCCAAAAGTGAAGCAGCTCCTGATCTGGAATATTCCCTTTCCCTTCTCATATACTTGTTCTTAAAAAATTCCAATAATTTACTTTCAGTATTCCTTTCCTGATTTTTAATGTACATGTTAATTTATCATTAATAGCAGTCGTGCATTAACTTATACCCTTCCTACATGGTAATCGGATTGCTGATCTTTCAATTCCTTGCAAATGTCAGTCTTGTAACCGTTCCCATAATCTTTATTATTTCTCTTCCTTTCCCCCAATCTGTATTGGTTTTTCTAAACATGTTAAAAAAAGCAACCCTTGTTTATTTTTTTTTTAAAAGAAATAGTTTGCTGCTGTTGTAGGTGAAACTGAGCGTTCTGTACAGATTGGACAAATCTTTAAAACGAAGAATGTGGCGCAAAGTTCAGAATATTTGAGAATGTTGTTTTAAAAAATCCCTGTGCACTCCTTCCTTCCTGGTATAAATGCATTTTGGTTTCTTCTCTGCTAGGAACAGTGTGAAGACAGCCGGCGTCTCAGGCTGCAGAAGGCTCAAGAGACCAGTCGCCATTTCCAGCAGCATCACAGCATCCAGATTGTGAGTACTTACTTACTTTGTTTGATTTACTTACTTGATTTATGTCCCACTGTTCTTCCCAAGAGGAATCCAAGAAAGTGAAATGGAGGGGGGAGGGAGAAAGCATCTTGTACACTTATACTAAGTTCAGGCCAGCACTGTGTATATTCTGCGTGATTCTAGTTGCAGGATTCAACAGATGCAGAATTCAGAAAAGCAAAGCCTTAAATAAAAGAAAGAGTGTCTTGCCCTTATACTGGGGAGGATATGCTGGAAAATGCATAAGCAATACTTGCCGAGGTCCCAAAGCTAGGGAGACGGGCAACTTGGGAGGCATGGATTAGGCCAGACCATTTGGGCCCTACCTGAAACTCTGTGCCTCCTCTCCTGAAGTCTAGAAAGACCAGAATAAAGTATGCAAAATAGATCTGTAGAGTGGAATAAAGCTGTACAAATAAAAGGTACAAATGTCCTTAGTTTGCATAACTTTGTTATGTTGCAGAATTCCAATTTTGTAGATAAGTCATTAGGATAACCAGTACACAGACTTTAACAACATCATCTTCTGTCTGTTTGATTGGATATAAATGTCATTTTGTTCAGAGGGATTTAATCCCAGGTAACTTTAGGTTAAGCCCCACAGTTGCCTTTGCAGTATCAGCCAGGACAAGAACTTGGTGCAACGATAGATTTAAGGCCCTGCGCCCGCCTCGTCACTGCAGGTGAGAAGGAATTATTGGCAGATATGTACGGGAGCAGGACGGCAGAGATCAGGTGAACTTGCTCCATCCCAGCTGAGGATATTTTGAAGTATCTCTGTGCCCAAAGAGGACATGCATCAGGCTACACTCGGTCCCTCTTCTGCCAGGACCCCACAGGCTTGTAAAACATTTTTGCAAGCTTGTAAGTTTTATGGACCTATTTGTAAGGTTGAATTAGGGCCCCCACACCATTTCTTGTCTCTCCCTTTGATAGATTCAGCCTGTAAAAAAAAAAAGAGCACCTGTTGCTACTGAGAGGATTTTACAGACCATTTTACAAGCGCTTAGGTCTGCAATGAATAGCCTTTTCAAAGTCAGCTAAAGACCCGCTTTGTACAGTTTGCTGTCCTCCTGCCAGTGGAGAGAAGAGACAAGGGGGCTTTGCACCATAGCAAAGGGAAGAAAGAGAGGAGGGAAGCCCAGGGCTCATGTTCTGAAGGTGTCTTGGGAGTATGGATTTGAACCCAAGCCCTAGTGCTTTGCTTCTAAACTAGGATACATCAGAGCACTGAGTTCTGCTCAGAATGGTCATACAAGCCCGATCGATGTGTGCATCCCCTTTTTCTTATGCCCATGTGCAGAAAAGAGATAAGAAGAAAGAGGAGGAGAAAAAGAAGAAAGCATGGATAAACCAGGAGCGACAGAAAACCCTGGACAGACTTAAAACCTTCAAAGAGGTGAGTTGCTGTCAGCAACTCTCATTCCTTGCTGGAAATTTTCCCCTGTTGCTTTTCTATGAGAGTCTGTTAAACAGATACAAAAGGAAAAAGGAAATAAGAAAAACTAAGGCCCAGTTCTTAATGTTTTGAGGTGGCTATGATGGTTGAATGAGGGAGAGCCGGTTTGTATAACAAAATCCAGCAGTGTGACAAACACTAGTAGGCCATCAAATGTTAAAAAAAAACACCTACAAGCAATAGGATAAACAAAAAATATTTATTGTTCTAACATATTTTGTTAGATTTTTAAAATTATATTGGTCCTACAACAGGGAAGTAACAGCTATAAAACTTAAGAACGGTTTTACAACTGATATCCCAATCCTGCTTATTTAAAAACAATCCCCCCCCCAAAAAAACTAAGCGGTGTTCCTAAAAAGACAGCAACTCCAACCAGCGATATGTATTATCCAATCGCTAAAAGTCATTAATTGCAGTAATTAAATTTCAACTTTAAGGCAGAAAGGGAGGCTCCAGTTTTCAAAAACACAGTACTCATTTTACAAGGATGAGAAGCAATGGTGTACAGCTGTGTATATGTGTAAACGCATGTATAGGCCCAAATCGTGTTGCACAATTTACGCCTCCAGAAGGGCGATGATGGCACCATCAGAGAAGAACTTTTCGATAAACAAATTTGGCCTTCTTTTGTCCCTGTAACTCACCTGATGTGCAAGAAATCCTTTTTAGCACATGGAGGCCAGGGGAATGGACGATGTTTTTAATACTCAAAAATCTCTCCCTAAGGTCATCCCCACTTCTGCATATCTAACTTACACCAGCAGGATGTTGGGCATAAACACATATAGCTGTTGAAGGTGGAAAGAGGATGGTTTCTCATGGTTAGTATTTTTTAAAATCAGGCACTAAGGAGTAATTGAATAGTTTAAAAATTAAAAGATGGTATAAGCTTCCAGAGTCTTGAGTAGCAGAGATGGGGGAACATCTTCCTCTCCCAGGTATTGTTGCACTACAAAGCCCATCATTGCTCACCAGTGGCCATACTGCCTTTCTGAATGCTGGCAGAAAGCTGTCCACCTCTAGTCGAGGCCACACAAAAGTGCTAAGTAAATATAAACGTTTATGCCACAGTTACACACTTCCGTGTGTGTGTGAGAGAGAGAGACAAACATGACTCAGTAGGTTTTGGTCAGCACTGGCAGTCTTTATTTATGGCTTATGTTTTGAACCCTGCTAACATTCTTCTCCCCCACCCCCACCCGAAGCAGAAATGTCCGTCTCAGTTTGTGCTGAAGACTTCCCACGCCCAGCCTTCGAATGCCAAGCAGGGGCCAAGCGCGTCCCGCCGGACTCCACGTGCTTCCCCGCAGCCATCGTCAACAAGCAAGAAGCCTCCCGAGAAGGTGCCGAAGAATTCCCGTCCGGCACAAGCCAAAAGCTCTAGAGCCCTGCGCCCGAAACCCCCGAAAGAGGTCTCTGTCCAGATTTTTGAATCACCACGCGGGCCGGGGCCACACAAGCCGAGTGAGGGGGTGTCATCGCTGCAGCCTCCGCCGCCGCCACCACCTCCGCCACCACCGCCTCCTCCTCTTCCTCCTCCACTCCCGGCCAGCTTGCCTGTTTCTTTAAGGACGACAGAGGTGCGTGAAGGCGCTCTGGTGGCCGGCAATCCTGCAGGGAAAGGAGACAAGCCATCCCACGGCACAGCTAATCATTATGCAGGTAAAGAGAGGCTGCTCTTTCCTAAACGCTTGGTGTTGCCTTTATAGGGCAACATTTCCCATTGTGCTGCCGTGCTTCATGACGCCGTAGCATTGGAAGACTCTCCCGGCCCCTTTGCCTTGCGTCTGGTGGGCCGTTGTTTCCTCCGCATTTTATAAACGCTCTGCTGCAAAAACAAGCAAGTGGCAGTGCCAGCCGAGCGTGAGCCTGGCTGTCCAAATGCACACCACCGAATCACAAACCACACGGGGGCCAGAGCAGTCGGGCCCAATCAGGATCCATCTCAAAGCACCAACTTGGCCTCGGAGACCAACTGTGGGATCCATTCTGTGTTTTATATAACACTGCGTAACTAGATCCTTCCTTCAAAATGTATTTGGCATGACAGGTTCTGAAAAGAACTATCCTTCTGGCATCTTCTCTCACAGGTGGCCGTGTCTTCGCCATCCTCCTCCAACACAGGGAGTGTTATCCGATGGAGGACGGTGCAGGTGTCCGCCCTCTAAATTTATAACTGGCACCTGTGGTGGCTTGAAGCCAATGAGCTGTTGAATGAGAAGCTTTTGTTCCTCTCCATGTGAATACGTAGGGCTGTTTCTTCTTCTTTTTAACACAGAACAATCCTAGGGAGTCCAGTTGAGGGGGAACAACAGACAGGAGAGGAAACCCCCACCCCCCCACGCCACATAGTTCACCAGGTTTGCAGGTCATCCAGCTGATCTGACGCTCCTGGGTTGAGGAAGACTAGTTGTAGAAGCTGGCCCCAAGCCTGCAAGAAGAGGGCCAAAAATTGTGCCTTCACCCCACTTCAACCCCCCCCCCAGCCTCCCAACGGATCCTGGAGGCCATTGTCTGTTCTTCTGTTCTCAGCTAAAACAGATGAGTAACACTACTTAAGAAAGCAAAAGGTTTCAGACAGGTCCTTGTGTTAGCCTGTGTCAGCAACAACAAAAATGAAAATGTTACAATTAAGATCATTCATTTACAGTACTTTTGGTTTTGTTCCTTTAGCTTGATTTTATTTTAAGGTGCATTTAGTTCATTTTTATGTGGTACTAGATTCTTGTACTTCTCTCCCACCCACCCGTCTCCTGGACGCTTGTTCCCTTACCTCTCTGGCTTGTTGCACCTGAGAATAAGCGTTTATTTGGGTTTTTTTCTCCTCCCCCAGGCTCCATGGATGAGGTTTTAGCTTCACTAAAGCGTGGAGAGGTCCTCCTTCGTAAAGTGGAAGAAGCGCCCCGCCCAGCTGCGTCTTCCAGCCCCGGCCTCAACGACAGCATCCTTGCTGCCATAAGGCAGGGAGTTAAGCTGAGGAAAGTCAGTCAAGAGCCCAAGGCGGAGGTCGAGAAGGATTCTGGCAACGAACTGGAGAAAAGCATCAAGGCCGCCATCCAGAGAATAAAGAAAGTGTCGGCTGATTCGGAAGAGGAGGAAAACAATGACCACAACAGTGGCGAATGGAATAGTTAACTGAACCATTGGCAGATTGTGTTCAGAGTTTTCTTGGAAGCATCTCTGGGATTCGACTGCGAGAAGATCAGTGACAGCAAACGGATACGAAGGCTTGTCCTGAGACTCGACAGGCCTGGCTGGCATTTTGAAGGGGGTCCCGGAATCTCTTGGCAGCACATGGGAATTTGGGGGGGGTGAGGACAGAGGTGCCAGAGTAGAGAGGGTCCGCGCTCAAGGTCGGGAGGAAGGAGATCACCCGGTGTGAAGCAGTTCAGGGCAACCGGTTTACTGACACACAACATGCCTCCATCACTGGATTTTGCATAAGTCTGAAGGTTGGTATTTTGAGGGAAATTAAAGGTTATATTATTTCTGGTGATTCCACACCAGCAGTGGTTCAGAACTATTAACTCTTAAGAGGGTCTTTTTGGTTTTGTTCCAAAATTATCTTATCAACACAGTGCTATTCAGATGGCATCTTGTATTATTATTATTTTAAAGATCATCCCAGATATATAGAGCTACCCCCTCAAAAACAAATCATTGCACAGCAAATGAGGGAGATCAACTCCTAGTTATTTTAAGTTCCAAGCCTGATGGGAGTGGTATAGTATGCGATTGAAGAATTTTGTAGAATCCATGACAGCGTTGCTGACTGGTGTTAACTTTCACAGAGACACGTTTACTTTGCAATAATGCCAGTTATCCATGAACTATTGAGCAAAATTTGACACTATGTTTTGGAGGCAGGGATGATCATCACTACCCTTCTTCACCATTTCCCCCCCCTCATCCCCCCCCCACTGTGGGTGGTTTTCCCAACACTTGGTTAGACGAGGTGTGTCTTGGTTGGTGGTGCCAAAGGGGTATTTCTCAAGAAGCCAGGGCAACACTGAAGTATGCCCTCCCCTCTCATCCTTTGGTGGCACTTCCGTGGCTGAGATGACCCATCTTAGCACTCCTCTGGATCAGAACTGGGAAGGGTTCTAGTTTTGGGACACCCCCCCCACAAGGGCTCCCTGGCCTGGCTGGCTGCCTACCTGTGGGCCCTTCAGGGACCCTATGCAAGAGAGAATTAATCAAGGGGCCTTGTGAGGTTTCACACTTCCTACAGCAGAGCAAACCCGGGTGGCTCCCAGCGGCTTGTCTGCATCATGTTTAGGGCTCTTCCCACGGGCCAGTCTCGGTGGCCTTTATAGCAAAACAGATCAAGAGGAGAATGAGACTGCTTGCCTATTGAGGGAGCAGGGAGCTTTGAGAAATAAATCCAACTACAATTAATGACAAAACCTGTACTCATCAGTACAAACATCTGGTTTGCAGTATTTCACATTTTTGTGCTGAAAAGGGTGAGATCAGTAACAATATACTGACCATGTCTAACACACGCCAGGAAAGAAATTTGTTTTCCTGCAAAAACGTAATTCTTGTTCTGTTCCAAATCCTTTCCCCTAACTTATTTGCTTGCACTTTCAATTATAGTGGTCACCAGTCCCTCTTAATTAGTAGTATTTTAAATCTAACTCTACTACACTAATTAGAGGATTAAAAGGTAAGATGTATCCTGAACTACATCTTGGACTACATTAACCACTTTCCACCAAAATACGTTTTATGCAGATTTGTCTTTTGTGGCTATCCAGATGATTCTGGGAGTCGTGGACATGCATGTCTCTCCATACAATGTGCATTTGCTGCATCTTTGTCTCCTACCTCAGTGTCGTTTGTCTGCCTTTTGAGAGCAAATGATGGGCCTCCAGATCCCATGACTCTAGACTGGGCGGGTCATGGGGACACAAGCTGATGCAGGGTCAGGTCTAGAAAACGAAGCCCACGGGTGGCTCACATGAGTTCCAAAGACTCAGAAATGGCCTTTGGACAAGGTTAATTCATGGTGAAGAAATGCATGACAGGAGTTCATCCTGAGAAAAAAGATTGGCTTTCCGCCTGTTTTCGGAAGTAGGGGCAAATATTTTTCCTATTTGACACTATAAGGCTGTGCAACTCTTCTCACTAAGCTTTACAAAATATATTACATAGAACAGCACTTTAAAAAAAAGATAATTTGAATCTGGTTAAACCTCTGTTCATTTTTGCTGTCTTACATTCTCCACAATAAAGTATCCCATAAACTGGGGGAAACTTTGGCCTTTGATTTTTATTTTACACCGTGACCTCTGCCTGTCCCTTTTAAAATGTTAGTACAGTATTCTATGAAAACTCCGTTTCTCACATTCAGGTGGAATTTATTTTGGGGTTTATTCATGGCAATCATCTGTTTATTTGTTTGTTTTTAAAGGAAGCCATGTCAGTGTGTCCCTGTTCAGGTCATCTCGGAAGCAAGCCCCATGGGACCTCCTCTCGGGTGACACCCAGTTTTGTCATTTTTTCCTCACTGTTCAGCTTATGTGCTCAATGCACCCAGCTTGTTACTTTTTGGCAATAATGATCCTCTCTCTATGCCACTTACTTCTCATGACAGCTTGCTTCCAGCTGGGGAAGAAGTCACGGAAACGTAGCCTGACTGAACATCCCCATTAGGGCTCTTCTGCTCATTGGAAGTGTTCAGAAGGCGGAGGATTTTGGAGATGGCAACTTTTGGACAGGCTCTGCGGAGGAGGGAAAATGCAGGATGGCCCCCATCAGGAATTCACGTCCTGGTGGAAAAGGAAACTGGGCTTGGCGGGAAGTTGCTTTGCAGCCTGGAACGCGAGACCTCCCTAAAGAGCCAGGGCACATCTTCCTGTGCCCAAGATCATGCCACTGCCTGGGCGGATTGTTTCCTCCCTTGCAGCTCTTGTCAGTCTGCAGCGGCAAAGTCACAGCCAGGAATGATGGGAATCGCAGTCCATTAACACGTGGAGGATCCCATGTGTTTCCTTCTCGGACTAAGCCTTCCTACCCCCATTGGTTATCATATCTGCTGGCCTTTGGCTGCATTCCAGACACACGGACAAAACAGGTACCTTGTAGAGCAGGCACAAAAACAACACTGAGCAGATACAAGCTGAGATCTTAAAACCAACTGAGCAGCACCTTAAAATTCCCTCTGAGAGCCAGTAATCCGAGGACTTTGGCTTGGGAAAGAACCATTCAAGCTTCTGGGTCCTTCACCTTAGAAAAGAATGAATCTGAGTTTTCTTTCAAGCCCCCTCTTTATTATCCTCCAAGAAGGGAGAGCCTCACCCTCTGGGCCACAGGAGAAGGCGCCTCCCCACTCCAGAGCCAGACGGGTTGCTTTGACACAGCTGGAGGACTAACTATTTCTGCTCTCTGGCTGCAACCTCTTCCCATCCTTGTCATTAAGGAATGAGTCACCCAAACCCTCCTCCTCCTCCTTCTGCCTCCCCCCCCAGCCTAGTCACCAGCAGCCCAAAGAGTCCCAGAGTGGTTGAGGTGGCCACCGCAATTAGGTGTCCTCATGTACTCTCCTCACCTACACAAAATCTTTATGCCACCTTTCTCTCTCCTCCTCCTCCTGATAAGCCAATTAAAATTAGCACTGAGGCGAGTGCAGGGGGGCGGCGGAGAGCAGCAGTCCCCAAAGTAGCACAAATTGATCTAGAGCAGCACAGAAGAAGATCAGGTGGTTTTAAAGAAAAGCAGCAAAACGATATTCCTCCTCTGGGGGACTGAGTGGGTTAGCGCAGCATCCGCAGGAGGAAAGAAATCGGGCACAGCACAACGGGTGAATATCTATTGCATAGTTTTTTGTTTAAAAAAAATCCTTGCAAGGCTGCGTCTGTCCTTTTCTAGGGAGTTTTCCTGCATGATGTTGTTCTGTGCCATCAAGTCAGACCCCACGGTAGCAACGCTAATAGGGCTTTCAAGGTAATGAGAGACTTAACAGAAGGGGAGGTCCTAGGAATGGCGATACGGCCTCAACCCCCCCCCCCAAACTTACCCAATCTGCCTCTGTTTTGAGTGGGAAGATCTGGCTGTATTATCGTTAGGAAGTCGTTTTCGCTCCATCAATTCGCTCAAGCCCCTCCGTCTCCATGGTGACAGCCAGTTGTCTGGATTTCTCCAGCAAGGTTTATCCGACTTTTCCAAGGTTTTGGACTTTCTTTCTGCCGTGGCTGCTCATGTTCCCCCGAAGGCACTTCCTGGCTCTGAGACAGCAGCGCCCGACGGCCTGTGGAGGGGCGAACACTTGGCAACCGATGAGGCCAAAGAGCCCTTCCCACTTTTCTTGCACGGGAGAGAGTTCGGCGTGAGCAGCACCATCCTCTTCTTGGCAAACCTGTCATGGCAATGGCTTGTAAGACAGAGAAGATAGCAGGGATGGGGGAAGAAGAAAAAGAACCGCCTGCTGCCAAGTTCACTGGAATAGCACCTGCTTTGTCTTTTGAAGGCCAGGGGTTCAGGCCCCAGCATCATCGCAGAGGGTCACCTGGAATCACTGCTGCCAGTCCGAGCAGACTATTTAGGGCTAGATAACACTCTGGCAGGAGGCAACTTTGCCCCTTGCTATGATGAAAGAGGGTGGTTGAAAGCGTTTTTGTCTTTTAGAAAGCAAAACCCAATTCAGGCGTTAATTTTCCTGTGGACACAGAGGTACTTAAAGCTTTCCTTTTTCTGCAATTCCAAATCCTGGCTGATCTTACTCACTCCAGTCTGTCGGCAAATGAATCTCTGGTCTTCCCCAGACAGACAGCATCCTCATCGCTGCCACAAAAAACAAAACAAAAAAACAGGGTCCCCCACTTGAAGCCCAAGGACAGAATGCCAAGTCATAACAGAAGGGGAGGTCCTAGGAATTGCGATACGGCCTCAACCCTAATGACTGTGACTCTGTGAGGCAAGAGTGATCTCTGCCTGGGAGGGGGAACCTGTGATCATCTAGGTGAGAGGGAATAGGGTTCCCATCCATCTCTGAACACTGGCAGTGCTGACTGAGACCCCCAGGGATTCAGGAGCCTACAACTTCTAGAGGGGGGGCATGCTTCCTGGTGTGTGATGTTCTAATATTTGAAACAGCCACAAATCAGAATACTTTGAAATCAATTCTTCCTAGACCACCTGCATCCTCCTCCATAGCAATGACACTGAAGGAAGGTGGTTTTCAGTGTTGTAAATACACACTCCAACCACAAGACCCCTTGAATTCAGGATGTTCCTTGCACAAAATAACAACGAAACCAAAGAGGAGGCCGCAGCACCCAAGACATAAGCCGGGGACGGGCAAGGCGCTCCCTTTTACAGCACACAAAACCCACCATCAGAAGGCAATGCAGGTTTGGATTATGTTAAAACACATTAAGTTTGCAACATTCCATCATGTTATAAAAACGGTGCATGTTTCTCCCACCCTGCACCCCCCCCCTATTTAGGAGACCCTCGCAGACTGAGGCTGCAAGTTGCACATGCATAGATCTCTTGGATCATCAAGGCTACCGCTCTTCAAGAAGGACACAGGTATTGCTACTATGGGACCCTACAGTGTGGGGTTGGGGGAACCTGCAGCCCAAACCAACCCATTGACCCCCCACCCAATCAACCACCCACCCACCCAACATCACACCTCCTTCGAGGTTGCTGTTTCAACCACAGCTGCTGTTTACTGTAAACAACAACCTCAGTGGGAAATCACGACATGTCACTTCATTAGAATGCTTTGCATCAAAGCAAATATTCAAACCCAATTTCAATATTTATTTTCAAAGTGGAGGGGAAAGGATTATTTCCCGCATTTAACACGTAGGAACAAGAATTCTGTTCATTCAGAAAGCTGGATGTTTTTTCAAGTCAAGGCATAAAAGCAACCTGTCTTAATTAGTCTCTCTCTCTATATATGTATAGTCTTACATAAATGGCTCTATAATACAATAAAAATCACAAAAGATAAAAGATTCATAAAGAAAAAAAGATCTGTATTTTCAAGTATATAAAAACCCATAATTTACTGCTACTAGAAGATATTCCAAATATCAACGTTTGCTTAATATTCAATGACATGGAAGAGAAGAAAATATATATTTAAAAATACTTGTTCACAGCAGACAAGTTAACGAGGTAAGAGACAATTTCACATCAATCAACCTGCAGTAATTTTCTTCAAGTTGATTAAACCCACCTTTTATATCTGGATAAAAATATACATTGCAATCACTACTGTATTTTCCTCATACTTTATAGTCAGTTACTTCATCATTCACTAAGCTTTGAAACAGTAAACACATGTTGCAAATTTATTACTAAAGGTTCATTATCGTTTTAAAACATTTTGGTATAGCCGTATCACCCTAACATACGCTCATCGCTGTGGGCTACTAGAGAAGGGCCTATCTCTTTTTATATTTCTTATAATAATGTGCTCCCCATAGAATGCTATATCCAAATATATACTTAAAGGATTAAAATAAATTCTAAATGCTGCTTTTACAGCACTGTTGACTCTCCCAACACACACACACACACACCCCACCCCAACTGTGCAAGACCTGGAAGATCTTCATTCTTTTTTGGCTGCAATCTTTCATCTTCCTTGGCCTATGGCTAAAATAAAATTATTGCTAACCAGGGACACAAAACAAAACTAAATTAAATTAACTTTCTAAAGCATCCTCAGCTCAGTGTCGGACCTTGGCTGTGTACAGGCCCCACTGACTGTTAAAAAGAAGCGCATTTAGAGATATTGTGCTTAAAAGATCATAGCTTGATGTCCGAGTCCTTTAAGATAAGAACAGCTTCTCTGGCACTCAAAAGCATTGGCAGCCCCTGCTACGGGAATTAATCCAACTCTAGATAAAATACAACGCTAGCCAAGCTTAGTGCTGACTATTGCTCTGAAGTCCAGACAAAAGCCTTCCCAAAATCTGCCGCTACAGATTCCTACATGGCCACCGCGCCTTGATCAGCTCAACGCCTGGGGCACGGTGAGGAACAAAGATGGATGTTGTGAGCTGCTTGCTGGCAGCCCACAAAATTAGGTCTCCTTACGTCCTGCCACTTTGGGGGTGACCCCACAGGAAACCTCTTTAGCAAAGGGCCCGTCAACAGCAGAGATGGCTTTATAGACCTGCAAATTATATGCTTTCACTCCAAGGCATCAGACTTCTGCAGAAAATCCATTCAAGTATGTCACTTATCTGTCACACTTGTATTATAAAAGATTCTAATTAGTTTTCTTAAAACACACACACACACATCTGGATGATCCAGAGGTGAAATGGTTGTATGGGCTTACTGCACTTTTACCCTGCCTTTAGTTTTTCAGGTCTCCATCCAAGTATGAATTCCTGGGTGGAAACCTGAAATAATCTTACATCAAAAGCATTCTTCATCTTAGTCTTTGTCAGTATGAAATGCTTGCCAGATGCACTGAAATGCAACACTGAGAATGCTGCTCTAAAAGCTGCAGAACAACACATGCTTAGCAGTTGTACTTAAGAGGGCACCAAACCACAGAGGATGGGTGACCCGCAGGCAGGCAGGCAGTACAGGAGAGCTTGTTTCCAATAATCTTCCATAATCTCTGGAGAAAAGATGTAAAGCCCCCGGGGGGGGCACTGACACTTTTCCAAGCCTTTATCATACTAACAGTTCTCTCCCAAAGTTGCTCTAATGGCTGCTCTAAAGAGGAAATGGCAAACACACCGAAGGGCTTGGGAAGGGCTAGATGACTGCTAAGACTTGCCCAGGACTGCTACCTGCTTCTTGTGCAACCCCAATTCACTGAGCAGTCCAACAGGTTATAGCACCCATCATGTGAACAGTGCAATCCGAGTACCTTAAGCATGCACTGATTTCCCCCAGCCCATTTCTTAAGAGCTCTCCCTCGGTGTGACTGGGTTGGGGGCTACCACTAGGTGGTGAGGGGGTCATTATTCAGAGGGGTTACTGATGGCACACCCAGAATAGAGACCTCCAGCTCTTTCCAAGATTCAGCTACCAGGGTAAAATCATAAGTACTGTACATGTTTGTGCAAGCACCACTGGATCAATGCATCTGAGTAGTTGCGATAATCTACACGTGCAAATAAATCACACGGAGCACAGGTCTTGGGAACAGTGTCAGTTCAAGGCAAAGCTGGGGCACAGCCCCCCCAGGGTCGCACAGCTGCCCCCATATAACCAGCACCCTTCCCTTCCCTTCCCGTGCAAAACTAACCTGCCTGGATTTTTGCGTCACATGCTGGTTTCGCCCCAGCAGGCACTGATTTTCAAAACACACAGCCCCACCCTGACACACTTGCACTCTGAAACAGCCCAGTCCCAAAAGGTTGGTACCCATGAGCTGTATCTGCCGCCTGTGGGGTTGGACTGGCTCAAGTTCCTTAAGAGCACGGAGGCAAAAGACCAAAATCCTACAGGGAACAGCTCCCATTTGGGGGGGGGGAGGGAATAAAGTGGAAATAAAAAGATACAATTTACTCTTATGCATATGAAGATTGTTGGATGTATAGGCACATTTTGAAGTCATCTCCTTATCACCTTGTTTGATCACTGTCAAACTGGATCAACTAACTTCTTCAGTTATTTAGCTGAATCTCTTGGGTGCTATTCCTCTCTCTACTGACAGAATATGTAAAGATACTTATTCAAGAATTTAAAAACAATCTTTATATTTTTAACGGATGCTTTATAGTTCCATTTCCTCCTAAATGTATCCTATTACTACAGACGACAGCATACGATGTTTCAGAAAATCTTTAAGTTCTTCAGAATTATAAATTTTCACTAGCTCTGCTTGTCGATACCCACTATAAATATATATATATTTATATACATGGCATAAATGAACAAAACCATCAACTTTGCAAAAATTTGTCCATCAGGTCATGAGGACAATATTTTTACCTTGTGGCTGGCAACCTTGTGAGCCTCTGTTTAGTAGGTTTTGGATCTGTGAAGTCATCAAGCCATCATCAATTTTTTACACCTTAAAACACAACACCCAAAGCCACACAATTTTATGAACAACTTATTTCATATCCAGCTCCTGCTACCTGGTCATGATGGATGTTCTAAGATGGCCCTAAAGAAGAATGACTTCACTGTTGAATTATCTTTTTTTTAAAAAAACAACAACTTTCTTTGGATCCTCTTGAGCATTATTTAAAAGCCGGCATTAGAAGAAGTATGCCTTGAAAAATTGGTTAAAGGAAAATAAAGGTATATTTTTAAATTATATTGGTCAAATCTATGAGTTTTATAACGTTCTGTAGAACTTGGAAACATTCCACCCAACAGCAAGTGTGAAGAACAAAAGGAAACGGGTGATGGGAAGAGAGTGAGATCTGTGTGTTTCTCCAGAGGACACGAAAACAAACTCTAGAGTGAGCCCCCGGTTCTGCATTAACTGATGAGGCTTCAATACTCTCATAGGGGCCACACATCACCCCCAAGCCAGAGCCCCATGGAGACGTCTGGACCTCCCCAAGCAAACTGATAGGCTCACTCGGTTCATGGCAGTCTGGAACTGCAGGAGTTCTGTGCCTGCTCTGTACTTGGGACGCCCAGGTGAAGGCACAATCATCCGAGAATGTTCACAGAACTCCCACTGAAAGGAACGGGCTTAAGCATGCTCTTCTGCTCTAAAAACCCCACACGCCACGTACACTACACTTGCTTGCCGCCTGCAGGCAGGCCGGTCTGACTACGTGCAAAGTTCTTGGGAAAGAAAAGGCCATTTATTGGCATAAATAACTGCATACAACACTTCCCCAAAACAGGCTGTCCCAGGGTTTTTCGTGGTATTTCGTGTCAGAAACCTGCTCCAAAGATGCCCCCGGGGACCCTGGCAGGCAGAGTCAGGAGCCACAGCCGTTAGGCCATGGTCCCTGGGAGCCGCCTCCCAAGGAGAAAGAGCCAGGAGACTCAGCACCTCCGGAGCACATGCGGGGGCTGCTCAGCAGACTAGCCAGGCAGGGAACCCTCGTCGCTGCAACAGAAGCTTCTTCCAGGGGTGGGGGGGAGGTGGAGGGATGAAGGCCTTGGAAGTGTAACAGCAACAAACAAACTAGTTCTAAACAGAAATTATCCAAACTTTGCCACTCAGCCCCGGTTCTCTTTATACTCCATAGTTCTGAGGATACAGAAGGAGTACATCGGGACATAAATCCAAGGCCTGATCCAGATATTGCTCCGGCTGGAAGGCAGGAGAAAAGACCCACATAAAATATCGCTCTTCGGTTAATGAGCAGAACAAAGATTCCACTCCAGAGGGCTTTGGGACAAAGGCTGCGGTTCTCACAGCTAATGAGAGCACACGCTTCTTAGACATGGCTGTGAATCGTGCCAGGAACCACAGGGGCTACTCTGTTCTCCAGATCATTACCATCACCTCTTCCAGACACAGATCCCACCACATTTCACCTCAGTGTCCCAAAGGAGGGGGGGCAGGTTTAAATGACTCACGGCAAGGGTCCCTCTTTCGGCTCTCATTTTCCTCACTTCCTCTTTCCACTTTGCTGCCTTTAACATTCTTTTTTTCTAAAAGCTGCAAAACAACAATAACAGCAATAACAAGCAGAACCCCACCTCAGCAAAACAGCGCACAGCAAGGACTGACCCGAGGCGGCTTCCAACTAAGGTCCAGGTCTGAACTCACTAACCCAAAGTCACGTTTTTAATTTAGTCATGTAAATTCAACTTATCCTGAATGACTCAATGCCATAATTTAAAACGAAGGGGAAGGGCTTCAGAGTAACAAAGCATCTCCACTGCAGGCATGGCCAGGGCAAGTCCTCCCAGAGATGCAACGCTGCAATATCGATGCTCTCTGGGGCCCTTTTATTAACTGCATCTTGACTCAAATAGGATGAGATTTAAGTCCTGGCCACTGGGCTGGGTGCTTCTGGAAGCTGCCGCCACCAATGGCAACTGTTCCACATTCTGGACGGGACGCAAGCCTTGAGGCTGCATTCAGCCTACGGACCTATTAACTCACAAGAGGTGCTACCCTCTTTATCTGCACATCGAGTTCCCTAATGTCTACTCGAAGCTGTAGCAGCTTTCCAGGCGAAGCAGGCAACGGTCTGGGACTCCAGCATGCAAACGATGGGTCTTGTCACTGAGCTGCAGGGACACCCTTGAACGCTAACTGGCCGTGTCTCCTCCAGTTTATAGCCACCCACCCCATGGGCTACAAATATTCATGGCAGTTACATGCCAAAACCTTCCAGCTCCTGCCTTAGCAAATGGTATTCTGGTAAGGAAAAGTAGCCAACTTGTTAATCAACACAAGTGAGTTTAAAAAGCAAATACCCTGTGCATGCAAAAACTGTGCCTTGTCTTCTTGTGATATAGCATCTTCTGAATCATTCTGAACTGAGGCTGCATCTCTCTAGGTCTCCTAATGGCTAATACACTGTAAGAGCGATGGGCTGTCAAGTTGATTCTAACTCACAGTGACCTGCTCAGGATGATCTTCTGGGCATCATGTACTTCCCTCTTTTTTGGTGGTGCTTGGGGAGCATTCTCTCTCAAGGCTGCTCCCATGGCAGGGAACATAATCCCCTCATCCCCTCTTGTTCCAGGGGGTCTCGGCTGGCCCTTCTCTGGGAAGGCACAGTGAGGATTCAAAATCCCAGCCCCAATCTACCCTACACAGCTTCTGCAGTCCTTGCAGGCTGAATCTGACCAACCTGTTTTCCACAGAGTGCTCTCCATTTATTCTACCTGAACAGGGAGGAGGCACAAAGGAAAACACTGTCGTGTTGCTGTTTTTTTTTTAAAGTGCACCTTATTGAAAATGGCAAATCCTGTATTTAAAAGGCCTCATGGGTATAAAAAAAGACCACCAGGGAAATCTCCAAATGAGGTTTCACTGGCCTGTACAGGGACTTAGAATGCTGGCTAGGACTGGTTGCCATCCACCGTGCTCTGTTGCCAGCTCCTCAAGCTTTCAGGCCAATAGGCGCTTCCTGAACCTATGAATTGAACTAGGGACCTTCTGCAGGGAGAAGAGAATACCTGGCTGATGAGGCACAGCCCCATCTCCCCTACAATCAGGAAGCAAAAGGAGAAACAGTTCTTAGGTTTTTCCCCTTTGGTCCCTAAGGCTGCTTCAAAGCGCACTTTCTCAAACCCAGTAAAGGTGCCACTGCAGTCTCGTCTCCTCTTGGCTACAGCCGGTCTGTCTGTCTGTCTCTCATTCTCTCTCTTTCAAGCACAAGGGGAAGAAAACTGCATGGAGTTTAATAATGATGAAGACAAGACTTGCTTCTTGTTTCTATGGTTGCAGCAGCCCTTACGACAGAAATTTCCCTGCAAAAACTAACTGCATATTCATTTTAAAGGTAAGTCTGAATTCCAGTTTCCTGAGGCAAAAAACTTTCCCACCTGTTTATAACCTCTTAAAGAACCAGAGCAGCACATCTAATCTTTCTCTTTCTGTCTCAGGATTAAAAAGAAAGAAAATGGGCAGGAATTTTTCAGAGAGGAAATAAAAGAGCCATACATGAAATATTTAGAATCTATGGACTAATCACATTGCAAACAAGAAGAAAATGTGTGTGTGTGTTTGAAACAGAAGTTTTGGATTTAAAACACCCACCCACACCCCAAATGTTAATTTAGAGGGAGCGGGGGAGTCGCTATTTCCTAGTTGTCAACTCCGAGTTTAGAAAGTCCTTGCCGGAAATCGTGAAGTTCATCAATCTTTCCATCGAGGACGTCTAAAAAAGTCTGTAACTCAGCCTTAAGGTTGTTCTGTCTCTGCCTGCTCTCTTCCACCTCTGTCCGTAGAGCTCTGACTTTCTCTTCCAGATCTTGATTCCTTTTCTCAGCAGCCTTGAAAAGAAAAACGTGGCAGAAAGGTCTTCAGGGTAGCACACAAAAGAGCGAACCCACCTGGCCATCAACAAGCACAGTGGCAAGTGCCTTCTCTCACATGCCATTCTTATAATTTGACCGGTGCAAAGATGAATGCGGATTGAGGGAGGATCTGCACTGCACTGTCTCAGCGCGAGTTGCATTTTACTTTGGCTGGGGCACATGCACCATGTCTGCACCCCTCGCTGTCACTGTTTCGCATTTCTAGCATTTGTTCTCGGTGGATCTGGGGTGATTTAGATCTTCACTCCTCCCCTGCACCCCCCCCAGATCCCAACACAGCTTGGCAAAACAGGGTTTTCAAAATAATACTCTTTTACTCTGAAACTCATGTTTGAATTAAAGGACTCTCAGTGGCTTCCTACATTCAAAGGAAAGAAATCAAGCTCTTTGGCAACAGACTGTCTTTAGAACTCTCTGAAAGCTCTCCAAGGGCAGAGTTCACTTCCTCAATAGAACTTTGAGTGGTTTGCTGATGTATGTGTTGAGAGGGAAGATTTACTGATGAAACCACTGCAAAGCAAGGCGTGTCTTCTAATAGATTTTTTTTAAAAAAAGAAAAAGGTTGGAATCATTCTTGCTCAAGAGGTTCAAGAGCCTTGTGGTGCAGTGGTTAAACTGCAGTATTGCAGTGAAGACTCTCGTGATCTGAGTTCTATCCAGGGCTCAGATAGCTGGCTCACGAGCCTTGTGGAGCAGTGATTAAACTGCAGAATTGCAGTGAAGACGCTGCTCGTGATCTGAGTTCAATCCAGGGCTCAGATAGCTGGCTCAAGGTCGATTCAGACTTCCATCCTTCCAAAGTCAGTAAACTGAGTACCCAACTCACTGGAGGTGGGAGAAATGTGTCACCTGCATAATTTTAAAAAATGTAAATTGCCCAGAGAGTGCTTTGAGTGCTAAGGGGTGAAACATAAGCAGCATGTTTTGCTTTTGCTTTGCTTGTAAATAGTTCTGGGTCAATAAGCTTCCAAGCGCCAACAGCACCCAGGAACTATTTGGGGTGCTGTCCCTCTCTGGAATATTTTAGGTCCATCCCTAAATGTACAGGGAAGAATTATTGAAAACAATAACCCACCTTATTCCTTTCATGTGAAAAGAATATACCATTCTCTGTCTGTTTTGTCTGAACTAAAATAAGGAAATGTGTGGATATGGTGTTCCACCTAAGTCGCAATAACATTAAATAACATATATATATGTTCTAGTTGTTCAGCCATCGCTCTCTGTTCTGGGCCCTTCATGTTGTGAAGACTTTAAGGGAGACGATCTGTACTCAGGAGAATTCAATATTCTCCCCACCCCCACCCCATTTTATTCAGGAGGAGGAGAAGGGGCTTAATCTCTCCCTGCCATTGAGGTAACCATGGCAAATTACTTCTTCCAGACATCAACCGTCACACCCGGTGCAAACGGCCAATACTTAAGGCACTTCCAGGGAGATTCCTTGATGGCGGAGGGGAAGGTCCACTTATCACACACTGCTGATCCAGGGACTGGGATCTGGCTGTAACAAAAGAAAGGCAGGCAGGCAGGCAGGTCCATTAAATAGCTTGCCAATTCTACTATTATTTAAGCAGGGGCTAAACTGGTTATTTTCAGCAATTATTTCACTTTGCTTCCTGCAAAGAGCACATTACATTATTGAACCAAACCGGTTTTGTACAGGTGGTCTCCTACGTGTTTCCCATGAATAAAACCCAGGGAGTTTTCTCCCTTCTCCGGTGTTGTGATTGTATCAATGGGAGTGCTTTGCAGCAGCTGCAGTACAGATGTGACCTGTGTTTATAAAAAGGAGGAAAATGTCACACCTCTTCTCTTACTGCTTTGATGCTTACTGTGAGCATCAGCTCGCCTGCACTGGCGACTTAGAGGCATCTGAAAGCTGCTTGACTCCCCACTCATTTAACCACGATGGCTCCATCCTATGGAATCTTGGAATTTTGTAGTTTGGAAAAGGAGTTAAAGGACTCTGCTTGACAGCTTTCATGCTTGCCCTTGAATTTCAGCAAAGAACTTTAAGTTACTCATCAAACTACAAATCCCACGATTCCACAGGGTGCAGCTGTGGCCATAGGATTGAGCCATTATAACTGTGCAGTGCAGATGCACTCCAAGTTTCATCATCCTCACTGTACAAAAATCTTTGAACCTGAATCATCAAATACTTCTGTTTCTACAATTTCTTTTGAAAAAATGGCTACAAAGCTGAATCAGATTAGTATTACTGTTTTAAATTGAAAGCATATCTACAAATAAAGATAATCACCCGTACCTGCAATTTCTGAGATACTGTTTCACATTCTGACATGAGTTGTGGTATGATTTCACCTTGTTTTCGAAGATCCTCTAATTCCTAGCCAAAAAAATAACACAAAAACATAGAGGTTATCAATGTCAAGAGGACAGTGAAATAATTAGATAACGTGCAAACCTATTTTTAGATTTTATTTTTAAAATTGTAGTTGAAACAACGTGTTTCCATGAGATCGGCATCTGGCGAAGGGAAGCCAAAGAAACCATTTGCCCTTACAAAGAAAATGAATGGTTCCCCTATTAAATTAGAAAGTGTCATGTTTTGAGGTTACAGCCCTTTCTTGCTTATTTCATCACAATCTTGTTCTAATCAAGCTTTGTGTTTTAGTGCGATTTTGAGCTTTATTCAGTCAGCAAAACATACTGATGCTCAAGACTTACATCTCTGAAAATACCTTTACTGAAAATAGGAAGAGGATGATTTTGGTTTGAGCTGACCGTCTTGACAATAACCTGAACGAGCAAAAGAGAACTGCTGAGGGTGAGACAGTGGGTGGTGGGGGAGGAACCATCCTCTGCAGCACCTCCAGGTGCCCTCATGTTCTAACCCAAAGGTGCACCAGCAGTGGAAAGGCCATTAGTACCCGTGCTGTTGGCTCTGGCTGGGTCTGCCACCTGTTTGGAGGTGTTTCGCTCGACTCCAGGGACAACGCCTGGGCAATGCAAGATCAGCACCACCTAAGTGGACAGCACCAATGGTCTGGCTGGTTGAGGAAAAGGTCCCCTAGACTGCAGGAGGTACACATGTCAAAGGCATGCAAAAAAAGCCAAGAGGTTGAGGAAGAGCACAGTCCTGTGCTAAAATATTTACACCCTCTTTGCTGCTCTGTCTTTTCCAACTGGCCCTTTTCAATCTTCTTCAAAGCCAAAGGATTTCAGAGCTGCTGTTTTCATGAAATCCTCTCTGTGAGCTCAGCTCAGGCTGGGCTTGTCTTGTACACCCAGAAATAGTTTATATCTGTGTTATTTTCACACTAATTGGGGGCTGAGGGGAGGCTGCTAATGTAAGAGACACAGCCTGAAAGCCGAGCTGGGGAAAGACTGCACCGCATGTGGAAATGAAGCCTGTAATATTCATAAGTCCATTTTCTGGTTGAATGAAAGTTACAAAATGCAGCTTATTAGGAATGCCATTACCTGTGGAAAGGTCTGGGAAGCAAGCATGACATTTTTCTTTGAGGCTTGCTGCTGACAGATGTTTGAAACTGTGCATCAAAACCCATCACTCTGAACTATTTCTAGGCACTTGGAGTTCTTTTAACAGTTGTTAAGCACGTTAGCTACATCAGCTCTGAAAAGAGCTTTTGCAGATATGCTATTAGCATCACCTCAAGTCGGCATATGGCATTAAAAGCAAAACCCCAACGGAAACAATTTGTAGACACAGCAGGCATACAGAGTTCCTTATGCAGCCACAGTGATAAAATATTTTTTTGAAAAACTGCCCTCGGGGCTTACATCCTGGAATAAAAAAATCCCTTGCTAGTGCAACTGCACCGGATCAGACCACTGTGTTACCTTAGCAGGTAGGCAGGAGGCTGTGTGACTGGTTGCACAGCCCTCTTGTGCCAATTCTGACAAAGTGCAAAAGTCTGCACAAACTTGTATTAGCTCAATGACCTCACTAGAAATAGCCCCTGATTTCTAAGAGGTATGAATCGGGTCCAGTTGTCATGTGCAAATATTATGATCTTCCAAACATCCCACTTCTGCAGCCTTTGTTTACAGTATTTAGTCTACTGATTTATTTTTTTTTAAAAAAATTCTAAACTGCCCTGTCTCAACAGATATCAGAGGGCAGGGGGCGCAATCGATAAGATCACATTAAGAACAATTAATACAATTTAAGATCTTCAAAATAATTAAACATCCTACCATTCCTGAGAACAGCTGAACTGTTAGAACAGCTGCAAGGACAACAGCCCAAACAGATTCCCATGACATCCAAATCAGGTAAAGTATGTTTAAGTCATGATTTCCTGGGCTGGTTTGGGGACTTGGGCAATCTGGGTTCAAGCCACCAACAAGCAATGAAATTCATTGGTGGACATACCCCATCAGTTACTTTCCATCATCCTGAACCACCTCACAGAGCCGTCGTGAGAATAAAATGGGGGGGGGTAGAGGGAAGAGGTGCCTACATGCCGCCTTGAGCTCATGAGAGGAAAGGTGGAAAATAAACGAAGCATGAGATTTGATAAATAATAAACAAGGTCCTTTTTCTGGAGCTACTCACTGAATCTGAGTCGGCAGGGATGCTCAGAGAAACAGCTCCAAAGCCAGGGGCTGTTTGTCTTTGCCTTGATCCCATTACAGTCATCAGTCTCACTTCTCCTAATTCATTGAATATCTTCCAAGCCATAATGACAGGTTTTGACTGCATTGTCACTATGATTCTCCAATGTCGATCTTCCCCAGAGCTACAACTACTGACAGCAGGAAGGCGTGGGTGAGGAATTAGGAAGCGGTGAAATTTGAGATATACCAAGCACTGTTTTCCAGATAGCGATTTACCCATAACACTGTCAATAATGTTCCTTTCCTTTCTTTTCCACTGAATAGATGGAGTTGAGATTAAGGAGGAGACTGTGGTGGAGACTTAAGACAACAAAGCAAACATGCTCTCAGGATGGCTGCATGATCTGCAGATGGGACAATGTGTGTGTGCAGCTGTGCTTGGTTGAAATGTGCCTAAACAGGATCATCAGCCTCCTCTACCTGAGAGCCTGGTTTTCTTGAACCACAACTCCCAGAATCCTCCAGCCAGCAAGTGTGCACTCTCCCAAAATAATACTCTCCACTAGTCAAATCCCCAGGATTTTTAGGAACAATGTAGTGTCCATGTACACATCTTTAGATTTTTTAAATGAGGGCACCATAAGGCCACAGTTCCCAACCTAGCATCTTTCATCTGGACAGGGATGCATCATGGGAATTATAATCCAATATATCTGGATGCTGCCAAAGTTGGAGAACATTGATCTAACTCTTTCATTCCTGCAGCACCAGCTAGCAGCCCCATAGTGATTCAATGTGTTCCTTTGGAGAAATGAGAGGTAAATGTCTGCTCAACTTTGATGACTTCATTGAAAAAAGAATATGGCACCATGGGAAAGTCTCAGTTTTCCTCAATAGTGAGCAATGCCTTACTCAGGAGCATTGATTGTGTAACATGATTAAAGCCTACAAAAGTCCCCCAAACCTAAACTGTAGAGTTGGAATAAGCCAAAGCAGCAAATCCACAGTCAAAGCAACCATGACAGATGGCCATCCAGTCTCTGTTTAAAAAAAAACAAAACTCAAAGGAAAGATGCTTTCTGAAATGATCCATTCCACTGTTGAGAAGTTCTTCCTAAAGGTTAGTCAAAATCCCCCTGCTTGTAAATTTAATCCACTGAGTCGGTTGCTATCCCCTGGAGTGGAGAAAAACCACCTGGCAACCTGTTTGGGTATTTGAAGATGCCTTTCACACCACTTCTCAGTTTTCTCTGCATTAGCACTTTCCTTCTTGTCCACCAAGAGGCCGAGGTCCATTTACTTCCGTTCCTTGCGTGACTTACCAGCTCCTTGTCTTGAAGCTCCGTCTCCAATTCCTGGAGGCGCCTGCTCAGCTGCGCATTTCGCTCTCGCTCCTTATTTATTTCCTCACACTGCTCTTCCAGTTCCTCAATCTTTAAAGAAGAAAAAGGTAGCCCATCTTAAGCGCCCATCCCACATTCTTATGAGCACTTCAAATGAAAAATCAATGCACTGTATGAAAGGAATGAGTTGACTGTAGCCATGGACGGTGTCCCTGAGGGGCTGGAGAAAGGCAGGTGTAAAAGCCACCCCTGTGGATCACCTCAACAATGCCCCCCCTCCACCCTGCTGTGCCAATGGCTGGGCCAGCTTCATGGCCACACCTTTTCTCACTGCAGAAATAGCTATTTATCTACCCATCCTTGAGTTCCTGGCTTTGCTTTGGCTTCCAGGAGCTGACAGGGACAGGGAGAACCAGACAGCTCAGGCGGACTTCCCTCAACTATAGCCCCTATGGCCAAAGCAGTTAAAATGCTATCAAACTGGTATTGCATAGATAACAGTCAGTAGCTGAAGAACAAGACAGAATATTAAGCTATGGACTAAAGTTGGCTTAATAACTTGGCTTGTTCCAAAGTTGTTAGTTATGGCTTGCTGGCTTGGAAACAGGAACTGTAGTCAGTGGCAGATTCCCTGGGCCTGATGTGCAGAGGCATTTACGCGCTCATCCATCACATCGGTTTCTGAAGCCGATATGCAACAATCCATGGGCTGCCGCTGAACTCAAGGCACAAGCTTCCTTGGAGGAAGGAAACCACCAGCCCAACAGAGCTATTCCCGCCATGGAGCAGAGCTGCGCTCCCCCCTGCAAAACCAAGCGCAGTCCCAAGGCGTTACGCCTGCCAGTTGACAGAAGGCAAATCCAATGCCGCTGCTGTTGGAAAACCTGGACTACATCATGCAGGCCAATTCATTACTTCTGACAGATCTCGCCCTATTGTTTTAGCAACAGGGCCCTGGATACTATTTTTGGTTTGCCACCTTAAATTATATAGCTTTTTACACCTTTGGGTTATTTTTTTCTGCTCACATCAACCTTCTACATAAGTATGATGGAAAAGAAACGCCTTTTTAGTCTGCAGGCAGGCAGGCAATGGGCCTTGCCCTCCGGCAGTGGAAAATAAATTTCCAGTTAGGGAATGTCTCTGGGTCAAGACTGGGATTTTGGCATGGGGCTGCAGTTTGTTGTTTTCCCACAGTGTTCCTGCTTGTTTTTATAAACTACCCAAAGGGCATGTCCTATAGATTGACCTATACATCAGGAAAAAAAGAGGGGGGAAAAGCCCAGCCCAACAAATATTGCAGCATGGAATCAACTGTCAAATATTTTCAAACATTACAATAATGAGGGTCAATTGATTTTTTTGCAAAGTACATAGCTTTCCTACATCTTCTCTCCATGCTTCCGCATCCAAATACACCAGAGTGACCAGCAAACAAGCCACTGCAGTGAACCCCACACACTGTCTCAGTCTGGTACGGAGCTGACTCAGTTCTGTGTTTAATTAAGGAAGAGTAACTGATTTTGTGACGTGAAAGAGAAGAAACCCAAGAGAAGACATCCGAGACCTAAGCCATCAGGTCCCAAAGGCAGCCAGAACAATTTGAGACACACCTGTTATTATTCTGCACTTTGTAGCTTTTTTTAGTATTTTAAAACAACCTTGAATGCTGTTCAAAATAGTGAATAAATATAGAAAATAATATAGAAGCCTGAGGTGGCCTCTGAGTCAGCACCTAGGAGAAGTGAAATTTAAAACCCATTTTCATTCTAGGCTGAAATTGCAGGAGGCATCCAAGGCTCAGAAACCTAGCCCCCAAGCAGGCTATGCATTTTGAATGACCCATTTAAAATTGAGACTAAAACCCCAAGTACATTCACTGACATCCAGTTCCATAGTCATCAATGTCTCCCAGTTGACTCCCGTGTCCCAAACATGTCGCAGAGGGAGAGGGTTGTCTCCAAAGCTGGAGGTGAGGGTCCTGTACTCCATAGCCTGTCCAGAAACCCCTAAGCAGGCCTGCTGCCTCAGATGTGGCTGAAGGACTCTGCATAATTGCCAGCAACTGGGGAAGATGCAACGTCAGTCCTGCTGACCTTTCTGTATGTGGAATAGGAGGATGTGCCAGCTCAGTCCTTGCCTGAGGCAGGGAAATATCTTGGGACAGCCCTGCAGAGAGTGAATTCAAACAGGCTAGGCTGTGCTATTGGGCTCATAGATGCAAACTCATTGGCCTGTTTGTGTTTACCATGTACACTCCAGGGTGCTGATATGGCAGGCAGACACAATCTTTCTGTTCTGCTCTTTCTTAGACTTTTGATTTTTCTCTTTCTTTTTGGCAACATCTCATTCATTTTTCCATATGTTTATTGAGAAAAAGATACAAAGCTAAGGCTGTACCTTACTCCTCAGGTGATCATTTTCCTCTTTGCAAATGGAGAACTGCTTTTTCCAGTGTTCAATGCTGGCAGCGGATTCCTGGAGCGCCGACGTCAGTCTGGCGTTGCTTTCCCTCAGGGCCTGCAGTTCCGTTTCCCATTTCTTGACATTACAAGAACTAAAACAGAAAGGGAGGGGGCGGAAATCACACAAATAATATCTTTGAGAGATTGCAACTCTAGCCTGTGACGTTTAGGTATATGAAATAAAGGAAGCCACTACAATTTTGCACAATGCTCTCTGAGGAGCTCCATGGCTTAAACAGTTTTCCTTAAGTGCCATGAAATAAAAGAAATAAGAGGCGAGGAAGACAGGACAGAGTTTTAATATACTCAAGCTGGATGCACGTGGATGGATCGATAATTTGACTAAGCCAATTTCTTCCTCTTAACAAAGATGTCTTGATGGTGGAAAAGTTCTATAACCTAGCACAGACTTGTCCTACGGGAAGGATTTAAAACCATACAGATATCACTGTCCAAGGACAATACTTGCATTCTTTCCAAACTTTCCATCATGACTAGTTACGAGTTTTTCCAATTTGCTTCCATGTCAGATTATCTGTCTTTTAGCAAAAATGAACCTGTGCCCAAGGCATGCTCAGATAGCCTTTTACAGAGACGTGTACACCCGTCTCTGCCGGTAGGCGGTGTACAATATGACTTGTCTCTTATTTTGCTTTTTGTCGATGCAAACTGATTTTATAACAAACTCACAACTTGGCTTCATATTATATTTCTCAAGAGGGCATACAGTAATTTCACAGTGCAAGCACTGCTCTTTGTAGAAGCCTCTGGTGTGAACACAACTTTTACAGCCAAACTGCAAAACAGATGCTTGTCTAACAGGAATGTTCCATGGGCTATGCCATTCCCAAACACAGCTGGATGAATCACCGGTCAGAATGCTCTCTAACACAAACAGCTCCCTGGATACAGAAAGCTACCACATTAGAGAGAAGACTCTAGCTGACTCCCTGATATGTTTACCTCTCCCCTATGGAAGGGAGTGTCCAAGCCCACAACACCCCATTGGAAGGCTGATGACCAAGCTATGTAAGATGACAACATCACAGTTAGAAGGGGACAAAACATTATTCTCCCTGAAGTGGATTCCTACAAAGCTTTCTCGTCCGTGCAACCAACTTGCAAATAAAACTCGTGATTTCCTCCTGATGATGGGACACCAGACAAAAGCAAGCTGATTTGCAATTATTGGAGCTACAGAAAACTCAGATTATAGTAAACAAATATCCTTTACCTGTTAGGAAGCTTCATGTCTAATTGTGAAACTGGCCTCTCACATAGCTTGACCTTCATGGAGGTGAGGCCCAGGACTTGCTTTATTACAGAGACTGATCGGCTACAAAGTTGTTTGTTTGTAGGAAAGGACCATATGGCAGCAGAAGCTCCTCTGACCTTCTGCCCTGCCCATTCTGCTCCTGAAGGGTCAAGTAGTCCTTCCAGGGAGAGGGGATATTCTTTACCCCATTAGCAAAGCCAAAGTCCACTCTACACCCTGAGTAGCCATCTGGGTCTAGAGTGGTGCTGGATGGAGCGATCTGTTCCTTTCTTCTAAAGCAGAAGATCTGTGCATAGAAGGAAGCCTTTCCAAACAAATGGACAGAAACACTGAATAAACCAATAATTAATGGCGAGTCTCGAGGAAACGGTAGCAGACATAAGGCATGTTAAGTGTGAGTGGGGAGGAGAACACACGGAGTGACATTTAGAAGCTGGAATTATGGTGGCTGACAGTTGGAGAGGAAAAGGGGATTAGTTAAATTGGAATGAATTGAGGAGATTAACAATGGCAATCCTATTCTGTCAAAGACTTGGTCTTCTCATCAACTTTTTTTTTCATTGTTCCTTCAGTAAACAAACACATAGTTCTTATCCCTAGGTAATCTTTAGCTGAACATACATCTGAACGGTTTGGATAATTACTCCTGAACGATGCTGCTAGTAGAGTAATGCCATGACACAACTTTATGTAAAAATGTTGATCAGTGGGCTTGTACATACTATATAAATCATTTTATACTGGTAGACAATGTGGCATATAAATACAGGGGCCACCCTGGCTTTTATGCTCCATTACTCAAGTGCTAAATGAAAATTCACCAAATGACAATCAAGACCTCAGACTCCATTTCAAACACTGGCCAAAGCATAATCTGAAAAACCAAGATGGAAATCTTGTATCATTCTGCTAAAAACAACACCAGTGGCATGATACTTGTACATTTTCTAGATGAGTGGTTCCCAACCTTAGGTGCCCAGATGTTCTTGGACTGCAGCTCCCAGAAATTCTGGCCAGCCTAGCTAGTGCCAAAGGCTTCTGAGAGTTTTAGTCCAAGAACATTGGACTAAATATTTTTATCCCGCTTTTCTCCTTAAAAAGGACCCAAGGTGTCATCTGGGGACCCAAGGTGGGAGCCACAGTTGTAGGTAAATCAACAAAGACTCTGCCACTTGAATATGAAACTCAGCTTTTCAATCTACTGGTCTCAGAACTTTTTAAAGGGGGAGGGGCAGAGGAGAATGTGAAACAGCTTCTTAAAGTAATATAAAAACCCAAAACAATACCAACCTGCGATTTATTGTAGTGAAACTAAACTAATGGTTTTGGGGAAGAGCCCAAGTAAATTTTGTTAACAGACTATTCCTGCCCACAATATGGAACAGCTTAAGTGAAGCAGCTGCAGCAGGAACTTTTGCCATGAAATCAGCAGGAGGCTGACTTTAGCAGCTGAAACAGGCCAGGTAATTCAGAATTTTGCCCACAGTAAAGGCCGTTAATTGGTAGTGCCATGAATTAAAATATTCATAGGAAAAGCCACTGCCTAGATATTTTATAGTGCACAGTTGTGGGCATGTGGTGATTTGAGTTCCCTGGAAATTGTACCAAATAACATTCAGGAAACATGGATTTGCTCTGGTGTATTTTAGCTGCAATGATCCAATCCAAAGTTGGTTAGTCATGTATTGAAGTTAGAATACTTGAAGTTAGAGCTCGGGAAAAGGCACTTCAAAGACTACAAATCCCAGAACCCCCCATCCAAGATGGCCACATGCCAGCCTAAGTGGGAGATCTACCATGTAGTCTGAAACATGACTTTTCCAATTGCTGCACAGGATGCTAGTTAGGCATTATTTAAATGTACAAAAAAACGCCTGATTACAAGTTGCACTAACTGGGCCTTTGGGGAATATCTAGGCCAAAAACAGTGGAAAGGAAAGTGTGGAAAAGTGTTTTACTAAGCTTATGGTTATTCACCGATGATCTCTAAGACGACTGATCTTAGAATGATACAAAATTGATGAAGGATGAGGTATTTTTTTAAAAAAATGTTAACCAAAGAAAAGAAAAAAAAAACCAGAGGCTTTTCTTTATGATCTATGACACATTTTGTACAAGTATTTGCATACACTCACTTTTCGTTTACTGAGAAAGATGTTGGTGTTTCCCAAAGCCCATTGACTTTTTTTTTTTTAAAAAACCTTAACTAAATTCCCTTAGCATCAACATGTTTGTGATTGTGGTTGGGATAGGTTACAAAATATCTCATTATTTATCATGCTGCCCTAGGGAGAGATTTTCTAACTGCTTTTCTCTCCTACAGGGAGACACCAAACACCGAGTAAATTTGCACACCTTTGTCTGATCAGAACTATTAAACCCTCAAGTTTTTTTTCTACTTGCATTGGCTGTACTCATAAATTAATTACTATCAGGTGCATCATGTTTGTCAGCAACAGACCCGGCCAGTCTGTTTTGGTGGCAGCTTAACGAATCTATTGAGATAGATTGTTCCCTTGTAGATCCCATGTGAGTAACAGGATAGGTATGAAAGCAGGCTCACCTTTGGGCGAGGGCAAGCTTCAGCTTGTCGTTCTCTGTTTTCAGGTGCACATCAGCGGGACCTCCATGGGAGGCTTTTTCATCATCTGTTCCGTTCACGCTGGATGCCCGAGTTGAACATGGAGTTTCACGCCCTGACTCCTGCACAACACAAGACAGCCACTTCTTGACAATGATGTCGGGAGCACCATGCATGCTGCAAAAAAACCCTTAGTGTATCTGCCATTAGCTGGCTGACCGCAAAATAGACCTTCCATATAATAACGGAGGGATTCCCCAGCCCCACAACTCATCTGCCTGGTGGAGAATTGAAGCCCTCCTGGTCTTCCTCTATTTCTGGCAAAGCAGCCTTATATACTTCAGCTCTTGGGAGCCCCCTTGATTGATTGCCCATCTTTTAAATAGGGCCCTTCGCATCTTTTAAGTCCCTCAAATACCCACGGCACCCACTGGGGATAGCTGACCTACAGGAAAGTCAGCTTCCCGGGCCCCAAGGATGCAGGGCAGGCAAAGCCCCACAGAGGGCTTATGGAGGGCATCCCTCAGCCCCCACCCATGTTCTGGAGGAAGTGTTCATTTCCAGAGGCAAGGGGTGGGGGAGTCTTTATAAACAGATCTCTCAGCAAAATGGTATCATCTTGACTTCAAATTATGGTGAATCTGAGTGGACACAGAATGTCAAGATGAGAGAAAGCTGAGTTGAAGCAGTTCTCTATGAGATGCTAAATTTTACATTTTCCACTCCTGGAATTCGCCTGGTTGGGCCATATACAAGCAGCATGCAACTCAATCAGAGTAAGCAAGGATTTGCCAGAAACCCTTCTGGCTAACTGCTCTTTATCAACAATGCACCTCCAAAGCCAAAGAGTAAGAAAAGTCTGTCTGTGAACTTATATTTCTCTTTGACCTTCGACAATATTTCTAAAGTTCTGCAGTGCTTGCTGTTAGGAACTTCTGACTTTTTCTTTCCTTTAAGCTACATTTCAAACCAATTATTTCATTTCCTTGCACAGACCACAAACAAACAGCTTACCTGAGAATGATTGCTAGAGGTTTCTGTTTTTTCTTGTGACCGTTCTCTTGCTAGTCTGGCGGCTTCTTTTACTTCTTGAAATTTCTCAGCAAACTAGACATGGACACATGCAGGACAGTACATGAGATTGGCCCCAAACCACATCTTATTCAAGCTATATATTACAATATTTTACACACACAAGAAAATGCAGTGTAAAACTGAATGTTTTTGGATGTGTCCCAGAATTTGAGAGACCGTGGTGAAGAGGATGCAAATTCTGTTTCACTGTTTAATACAGACATGCAAGCTGACCTGGGTTCAAATTTTCAAACTTATGAGGAGCCACGTGGGAAGTGGTGCAAGGATCAGCAGGGGCATCCATTCAGCCTGCTGCTTTTTCTATGCCAGGTACAGTGGGAGTGTCCATCACTCGCCTAGCAGTGTTCATTCCCTTCCACCTGCTGCTGTCAAAGCATCCCTTTAATTAAAGGGAAATGACTATGATGTGACAAAGGGAAAAACAAAAGCCAATGGTTAATTGCAAATGTTCATTTATGAGCACATTTCTGGATGGAATGATGCTAATGCAGTTCTGTGACTGTCTGTGCATGGAATTTGTCTCTCAGCCTTATACCAACCTATGACCTCAGGCTGCATTAAAATAATAAATCTGTGGCTATCCAGTGTTGAAATTTTATTTCACGATTTAGGAGTTGACAAGCACGCAAGCATCCCATTGAAACTTAACTAATGCACGATCAGTTACCTTAAGATCACATATGTCATCGAACTATATTACCATAGTTAGGAGAGAATATTAAGTCTGTTATGCTGAGGGACTCAAAAGCCTAATCTAAAACTAGAATCCCTTCTCCCGTGCTTATGAAAGACAGCACAAACTGGGAGAGAACCACATTTCCACTTCTCCCTCCACTCAGACACCATCTTTTATAAGACTTCTCTACAGATCTTGACATTTAGACTGCATGAAATGTTTATGATTTCTACTTTGAGTGGGGATTAATGATAGCAACCAGGTAGGTGATGCGACAGCTTTTCAAAGATAAGCCTCCCTGGCAAAGTGCTTGCAAAAGCTTTGAAGGCCACTGCCATCTCATTCTAGGAAGTTCACATGCAACAGTAAGTCTAATTAGCTGTGATTGCCACCAACTATCTAGCTGTCTAATTTCTGGGGATTGGGATGTTAAGAGTATTGCAACTAAATGATAAACCAAGACTCAATTTAGGAATATAGAAGTGACTTTGTCAGGATGTCCATCCATACAAAATGTGAAAACGTGTGTTTGTATGCAACAAATGGCCAAATTAGGCATGACACTAGCTTCACAGTTACTAAGTAATCAAACCTTTCTTCTCCAAAGTTGTAGTAGTTCAAAGCAACTTTTTTTTGCACAGTAAACTGGCAAATATAACCCATCCTTATCTCTTGTTGACCAATCACCAAACTAAAGTGGCTGCTACAGAGCCCATAGGGCACAGTGGATAAAGTCTTAGATTAACACTCAGGAGACTTGAGTTCAAATCACAGTGATGTTCATCCTTGGGGATGCTCAATTAAAAGAAAGTTTGTACTAGGTTTCCATCACAATGACAAAGCCAGCTGCTGTTCGGGGCATCAGCCAAGACTTTGGTAATGACCTTGTGACTTGTAGCTTTTTCAAGGTTGTGACAGGGAAGATGGATGGGGAACTTCTGGAATGTTCAAGGGCATTACAGTCTAAGTGAGCCAATACCATCTGGAGCTACTGATGGCTGAGTACTTTGTGTTAAAAAAGAAAAGTCAACTATGTGTCAAGATAAGTGCCTCCTTTTATAGCATAAACAAATACTGGGGCTACTGGAATTATTATCTCAGTGCAAGGCACACGGTGTGAACTCTTAGTTGTTCATTACCAAACTGCCTCTCCTAGTTCTGGAATATATTTTCTTATTGCTCCCTAACAGGGAGCCTTTGGACATATTAAATTATTTCTACAATGTTCAGATTTCTTCAGATCTGCAGGCACTGAATGCACATGGCTGGCTGCATTCATGCATCACAACAAACCATGGCTTGTGCACACAAAAATTGAGCATAGCCTCCCTGCTCCCAGGTTCTTTTTTCCACTTCTTCTGCACTTCTCTTCCAGTTTCCGATTACCCCCAAGTGACTGCTGGGTCCTCTGCAATTTATAATGAAGCTCCACTGGGAACTGGGGAGGCCAGCCTATTATGACTGGGGACAGTGTTTTTCTCTGCAGAGAATCTAACGTGGCAATGTGTAGTCAACCCAGTGCTGAACCAGTGCTAAGGTTCCACCCCACTGGAATGTTCGCCTCTGTTTTTTAGGAATGTAAAGCATACCCACTAAATGTATCTCATCAGTTCAGGCTGTCTTGATTTTCTGAGAACATTTCAAGCTCCTTGAGATTCCTCATCTCAAGGCAAGGCACAAGCAAGACAAGGAGCTGTTTTCCCCTCATCATCAGAGCCTCCATAATCTGTACAAACTGTCTTTGTGCAAAATGAGCAGCCCTTTGCTATGAGAAGCAAAGCGCGCGCGCGCACATGCGCACACACGCACACACACAAAAGAAGCACAGAAGTCTAGGCTTACACACATACACACACACACACACACAAGAAGCACAGAAGTCCAGGCTGGTTGTTAAAAATGACACAGGATGCCCCTCTCCACAGCTTCTCGTGTGTAGTAGTCCACGCAACACAGTAGCAGTCACTGTCCTTTTGCACAAGGTGTGTTACTTGCACCCAATGGGCTTATTTTATCCAAAACACTCTATTTTCCCATCAGAAAAGGAGAATTATTTTGCAGTTCCTCGTTCTTATGTGATTCCGAGTGTGGTGTAGTGGACAGAGTGATGGACTAGGCCTTTGGAGAACAGAGTTCAAATCCCCGCTCTGCCAGAGAAGCTCATCAGGGGAGTAGAACTGGTAACACCACTCCTTAAATATCTCACTTACCTTGAAAGTCCTACGAGGGTCGCTATAGGTCAGTTCCGACTTGGCAGCACACACACACACACACATGCAAAGACTAGGCAAGTGAGGATTTATATCCCAACTTCATTTGCGTTTGCTGTTAACTTCATTACCCGCCAGGCTAACTACAAATGGGATTAAAAGAGGGGTGAAGCTAGACATACTGCTCAACACCTGGATGCTGCCAAAATTGCAACTACAAGACTAGTTCCCATTCTGGCATCTAGTAAAGCATCTCATATTCCCCCCGTGAGGCTGCTAGGAGATTTTCTACCCCACACAATTGGCTGCCACTACAGCAGAGGGTGGGGGAACATGGAGGCCAAGGTAATCATGATGGCAACCAAGAATGCAAGGGAGAAGTGGGGTGGGTGGGGAAAGAGGAGATACCAGCTGTTATTTTCCATTGCAGCTTTGTGTTACTCCAGGTAAATTCTCCCTGCCTAAAGGCAAAAGGGCGAGACCAAAAATATCAGCATATGTCGGAATAAATCTTTTGTTGCTGGTAGCTCAGCCTTAGGGATGCCATTCTAGCCTTCCTCCTCCTAGGGAAGAATGGTTTTGAGAAACTAGAAAATGATGGTCTCATCGGGAAGTGGCCTCGGCCTCTGGAGAAGACCAGTGGGCTTATACCAGGGTTTTAGGACGATCTGATGCAGCCCTAGGGCTGACGTTTCCTAGCCCATCTTAATACCCAATGGGGCCTTACAGCAGGAGCAGAAGCTAGGCTACCTCCCACAAAATCAGTGCACAGAAACATATGATTTTCTAGCACCTCTCATGAATTCTGGGATGCTCATTAATTAAGGGAGATTAATCACCCGCCCAAAGACAAGGATCTGTTAATTAAGAAAACTGGAACAACTCCCAGTTTATATACAGGTCTCCCAGTGGAGCCATATGTTTGTTAGTTTAGTTCACTGAGATCAGTGCTGACTTGACACACAGGCAACAGTAACCGAGGCATCCAAACTCAGTTACCTTTGTGAGTTGTTGTTCAGACGAGAACCCCAAGCCAAACACGGTATTTGCTCGGCTGTCAGCCCACTGTCCAAACTTCTGCGACGTTTTGGTAAAGGTCATATTAGGTGTGATTGTGCTATTTATAACTACCTGCAGAAAGAACACAAAGACAGATTTTCACAAACAAGTCGAGACAACAGGTGTTAAAAAGCAGAAACTTCGAAATAGTTTGGAAATTTTCAGAAATATTCAGATAAGGATACTGGATTCTAAAATGATATTCAAGTGGTGATAGGTTTGTTCCATTCCAGACTCGTGAGAATTAGAAGTTGAAGTCTTACAAACTTATCAAAAACCAAAAATGAAAACAGCCTTCTTTGTAAAATCTGCTATGGACACAGAGTAGAACTTAATTGGGAAGAATATCTTTCAGAGGAGTTAATAAGAGCTGGTAGCCAAAATGTCTGTGATATGGTTAGCCACTTACCCAAGCAGGCCCACTCCTAGTATGTTGAGACTATACATCAGCCAGCCCACGCAGTAGTTGTGCTACTGGGATGGATAGCACATGGAGTCTGGCACACCTAAGGCTGACATTAGATTATTCAGGATGAGAAATGCTGGATAGCTCTGTGGTTTAAGTCTCTAGAGCCAAAGCTTGGGAGTCTGAGTCTCCACTGTGCCTCTTTGACAGGGGCTGGACTGATGATCCATAGTGTCCCTTCCAGCTCTGCAATTCTAAATTTATTATTACTACATTAATCAACGAGCCTCCCATCACCAAGTATAGAATGTCCCCAAGTTACAGAATCCCCGAGAGTGAAAGCAGAGCTAATTCAACAGCACAAAGAACTTTAGGACTAGAGTGTGACTGTGTGCAGGGACAATAGCAGCGAGACAGCAAAGGACACTGGCCCTTTCAGATCAGATGCTGCAACTTCTGATGTCCAGCAAATTGCTGCTTTTAAGCCATTACCTGACTGGGTGGTGGTAGCAGCCTTCAGTAAGTAAGATAAGGAGAAGAGGTGGAAATGGCTTAAAAGCTGTGAAACACAACTGCCCCCCTCCCCCATTCTGCAGAGACTTTCTTCTTTCTTAGGGCGCTATTTGTTTCCCATGAGAAGACATTCCATAGATTGCTCTCTGAAAAGATCCTATAACAACTATCCCCAAATCTGGTCATTTTCTGGATGTCTGGGACTATACCCTCCATAATCCTCCCTCTAGCCAGACTGGGGATTTGTGGGTGTTTGTAGCTCAAGCTGTCTGAAGAGGGTATGGGTGGCAACAGTTACTTTGCAGCATTAATTGAGGCAGACATGGTTAGCAAAAGACTGGGATGCCTGCCGAGATGCCTGCTGACGTCCCTTAAGCACATGTGGAAAGTTTCCTTCCCCAGAAGAGGAATACGCTCCGCCAAAAGCCGAACACAATGACAGTCTGAGTGATTTGTACTAAGCTGCAATTAAAATGAACGGCAGGGGACCCGTCTTGAACCTGAAGGGAAGCAAACAGGGGTTCTGCCAGTCATGCTCCTAATATCCACTTCTAGCTCAGGGAAAGCCAAAGAAGGGTTGTGGTGGCAGAACAGGCAGGAGCTAAATTTGGGGAGGGATGACTGTGTAAGGCCGAGTGTGTCAGCACAGCCATCACACTAAGCCACTCCCTACGAGGCCACTGCATGACCTTAGAAAGTTCAACAAACAGGGCCCGAGGTTTTGAGAGCAGTGCATTCTTTCAACAGCTTTACCTGCAGTTTGATAGTTTTATATGCATTTTCTTTTAAAAGGGAGGGGCTGTTTTTGATGTGAAGAGATGCTGCCTGAGCTATATGTATAACACAGGAGCTGCCACATTCAGAGTGCGTGTCCATGTCGCGCTCAGGGACAACAAATTAATTGCTCATGGGCATCCAGTTCTTTGCTTTCCCCTCTTGGTCCTGAGACTAACAGAAGCCATGCTGCAGGCTTGTTTTGCAAGGCTGACCCCAAAGCATCCTGCTGGGTGAATCTGTTGTGTCACCAAGAGCCTGGCGGGGGAATTCAAGGTTTGATGGACAACACAAGCAGCCAGCAGCTCTAAAAGCACAAATAAGGGCACTCCTTTAGACATCCAGTTCTTTGCTTTCCCCTCTTGGTCCTGAGACTAACAGAAGCCATGCTGCAGGCTTGTTTTGCAAGGCTGACCCCAAAGCATCCTGCTGGGTGAATCTGTTGTGTCACCAAGAGCCTGGCGGGGGAATTCAAGGTTTGATGGACGACACAAGCAGCCAGCGGCTCTAAAAGCACAAATAAGGGCACTCCGTTAGAAGACATCTTTGATTTGAAGGGCTATCTCATCTGAGTCTGGTTTAAAGGTCTAGAACCTACACGGGGGGGGGGGAATAGGGAACTTGAGGTTGTCCATCACTCTCAGAGAGCATTACGTGGACACCAGAGTCAACAAAGATGCAGATCATCTCACCAAAATATCACACTGCCCTTCTGCTTTATTTATGGGGTGCACTGTACTGTTCAAAAGGGAAACCAAATTTTCCATCTTTAAAAATAAAGTGGCACATGGCATTGTACACAATCTCTGTCCTTCTCTTGGTGATGTCATGCCACTATTTCAGGGATATAGTACTTAAAGAACCACCCTAATCCTGCACCTTAGCTCTCTGAAGCGAGGGACATCTGATTATTTTCACTCATGCCTATCTTTCTGCAGGTTAAACACAATGGCTTCTTGCCCTGACTTTGCAGGAAGAATATGATAAGGGCTGCTCTTCTTTTTCTTGATCTTCCTTTACAATACCAAAATGCCCTCTGCTATTTCTAAATATCACCAACAGAAGTCTCTGCCCACCAGGAGCTAGGGGAGTTAAAGCAGCAGCTAAGGAACTGGTGAGCTGCTAAGTTTTGTTGTTGCTGTTGTTGTTGTTGTTAAGGGAGGTGGGAATCAGCCCCTGCTTGCTTCTTAGTCCCAGCAGAATGAAATATGCATTGCATATTATCGACCAGTCTCCTCCTACTGTTTCTTCAAGCCTTATCAAATACAACGCCGGTGGCTTCAACATCGAGCCATTTTCTCCTCCCCACTCCCTCACCAACTCTCTCAAATGCTGCTCTGACATCCTAGTAAAAGATATTGCTCTGACGTGGATCCTACAGGCGCAGACAATTAAAAGGGAGATGCGGACGAGTATCTTCTTTATGCCTTGCTGAAGCCAGTGGAACTCTGCTAGAATAAGGTTCAGGAAAGGATCCAAGAAAGGCACCGTCATTTGCAAACCCACGCTGGATATGACAGCGAAGTGGAATCCCTTTCCTGCACACCCACTCAGGGGCTTAATACGCTTGATAAATGAGAGCCCTGTTCAGCGCAGTGCTTATTGGATTTTTCACTTCCTCTCCCTGTTCTCCGGATGCATCATTGATTGCGTTGTTCAGAGAGCTCTGTGCACACCAGAGTACCAATGGCCAGCACAGTTTGGTTTGCTGTTTCTTTTTTTGCTTCTGCATCTAGCCCAAATAACAGCCCTGTGCAAATCTGATGCACGGTTAGTTTCATGCGCCCTGCTTTCCAAGCTTATTTTCCCATTTCCATGCCTCTGGGGTAGTGGATGATCTAGCCAAGCCCATTCTGGCTGACAGCAACCCTAATCATTTCCATGCCTCTGGGGTAGTGGATGATATAGCCAAGCCCATTCTGGCTGACAGCAACAGGGTTTTGGGGGTGCGTGAGATGTCAAGAGCGTGGATTGCCACTGCTGCCACCCCACCTACCTCCCGTGAGCATCCATGGCCAAACAAGGGTTTTAATCCAGTTCTCCTGAATCCTTATCCAACACTGTGTCCGTGACACCATAATGGCTCTTAACTGTATAACATGACCTCCGTTAAACCCCAAGCTGACGAGTAGATGACAAGATCCTTGCACTCAGTACTACAAAAGCAGACAAGAACACCCGCTTTCCCTTTTGGGATAGTTATTTAGAAACTAAATGGCAGCAATGAAGGATCGATGGTGGTGATGATTTCCATCAACAGTGCACTGGAACGAAATTTACAAGCAGGCACCTGGTAGGATAACCAGGTTGCGATTATTTGCTAGGTAGAAGACATATATTGCTTATTTAACAGAGATGTATTTTCTATGTGGCCTTATGCTGTGCTTTGGTTACTGTGCAGCTTAAGTGTATTTTTAGCAATGAATATCAGTTTTATTGTTCATAGGACTTTAACTGTATTTAATTGCTTCGGGAATCTTGTTTTGTTTGAAGTGCAAAGCAGTAAGTTGCAAGCAGAAATAAGTGCATCTGCTCAACAGGCCAGAATTATGTCTTCCCATTACCTCTCAACAGAAGACTATAAAGAGCAGCCTCAGTTTGATCAAGGGATATGGTTCATCTTCACCAACCATTACATCTAATCTCAAATAAGACAAGACAAAAATCACAGATGGAGCAAAAGACCCATCCCAATTGATTGTGGTTGGCCATGATTCATCCTGAAAGGCAGTGACATTTACCGTGTTTTGCTTCCAGATTACCCAGCTAGAACCCATGTGTTTGACAATCATTTCTCCTTTCACACAACCCGGGGGGGGGGGGGCGAAATATAAGCCTTTTT